TTTTGAGTTTTACAAAACGTGTTTCAGGGTCACAGAACAGAGAGTGTCAAGATTACTTTTTATTATTCTGTGGAGTAAAATTTTGTAACTCTAAAAGTGGGGATATTTAAAACAAGACTTAAATGGGATTTGGATACCCAGCTTCCTACGGCTTAAATAAGAGTTGGACAAGTTATTCTCTTTAGACTTGGAAATTCCCTTGAGGAAATACTGCTTCTGCAGAGGACAGCACATGTACCTGCATGTGTGACGTTGCCTACTGTAGCAGCATTGCTGATCCCTAGAAGAGAATATAGACCCTAAAGGGAAATTAAAAGTCTGGAGAAATTATTCCTTTGTGATATTTCCTGATTCTCTTTCTGCTCTAAAATTTTCTCTTCCCTAGCAGTGCAGTTTTAAAAGGAATCATTAGTTCTTCAGATTTTTCTCTCCTTCCTTTCCCAACTCCCCAAGTAGCTGCAACTCTACATAATTTGGCAGGGAATATTTCTTAATCTTTTCTTCCAAAGTTTTAAAATATATACACTTCCCCTGCAGTCTCAGAAAACTTCTGATCTCCATGGGGTTGAAATTGGTAATAGTTGTGTCTGGCTTGTGGATTAATTTCTCTGTAATTGAGTCATATGGATAATGAAAAATCCAAGTATATCTTTTGAGGGACAAATAAAATTTTAGTTTGAAAAAAATATACCATGTTAGTGAATAGGTTTATTTTTTAATATGTTTGGAGTGTTAATTTAAATAAGAAAAAAACATAGTAAGGTATTGTCATTTAAAAAACAGTAATTATAATACGCTTTATAAGTCGTATTCATTCCTAAGTTCAGTGTATTCAGTGACAGGTGATGATGTAGAAAATACTCTTTTTTAAATGGAAGGGATATTCTTAAAGTTCTTCATAAACATGAAGACCACAGTATTGTATCAGGTATATTGATCAGGTATTTAGGAGTTCATCTTTTTACCCATAAAATGTTATTTAAGTAAAATCTGCAAAACTTCAGGTTTTCATATAGTATTCTCTTTTGACTGCCATGACTTCAAAGAAAATGCACAGATTATGTCATCCCTTACATTACAGAACTGTAGTTGTGTGATAAACAACCTCTGCTAACCTGAGAAAAAAAATTATTTCCTTTTAACAGGAAAAGCTGGAGGTGTAGGGGTAGAGGAAGAGGGATTATTGAGCAAGTTAATTAGAAACAGCCCAGGGGAAAAGTTAGGAAATTAAAACCCATAGAATCAGCATGGTGGCAGCTAAAAATATATTGTCACAAGATATGCTGAGGGTGGGGAGCAGCGGGGAGGCAAATACAGGATTTGATTAAACAGTAAGAGATTTTTTCAGGTGTTTTGATCTCACAGAAATCAAACGAGGGAGGGGAGTCCCTCACACTCTTCCCCTGCTCCAGCGTGGGGGTCCCTCTCACGGGAGACAGTCCCTCCCACGGGCTGCAGCCCTTCCCGAGCTGCTCCGGCGTGGGACACCCCCGCACGCTGCAATCCTCCCAGCGCTGAATTACAGCAGCGGGGGCTGCTTCCCGTTGTCCTGGCCTCCCTCGGGTGCAGCTGCCTGCTCCGTGGGCCGCAGGTCGGCATCTGCTCCACCGCGGACCTCTGTGGGCGGCAGGGGGCAAGGCCCTGCCCTCTCACCACGGGCTGCGGCGGCGTGCACCAGCACACGCACCCCCTCCTTCCTCCTCCTTTCTTCCGCTGACCTCAGGTTTGCATAGGTGTCTTCCACACAGCTCCTCCTCACAAGTCCCAACCCCCTCCCAGCTTCCCCTTCTTAAATACGTTCTCACAGAGATGCAGACACCACTGCTAATTGGCTCGGCCTTGGTGCAGAGGTGAGGCTGACTCAGAGCTGGGGGAGCTTCCAGAAGCTTCTCACAGGGGGCCACTCCTACAGTCCCCTCCTCTGTTACCAAAAAACCCCCACCACGCACACAAACCCAGCACAGCATTCATGCAAACTTTTAGAATAAAGATTGCTGGAAAGTTAATATACTGTTTACAGTTGCTACACCAAAAGAAAACATGCCATGGGAAAGCAAATGTACGTGAGTAGAATGTGATGCAGGTTTTTCCTTTGAGTGTAGAAAGTACTCAGATACCGTTTTGTGAGGAATGAAGACTCAAGGAAGGGAAAGTGAAAAATTAATATAATCATCATATTTATTTTCAGTAATAAATGATTGAGAAGTCATGGCGCATTGTCCTGGAGGGTAGTAGGAAGCTAAGATTATTATGAGGCAGATTTCAGAGCCAGTTTTTACATTGAAGGTTTATGTAGCTTTGAAAATGAGATCTGTTCATCTATTCTAACAGTACGTTTCTTGAATAGAGAAAGGAATTTATGGTGTTGATTTTTATTTTATTTAATGGGTAATATATATAATTAAATAGTTATATTAATTAAAATAATTAAAAGGGAAAAGCATCCCTCAGTTTTGAATGAGAATTCTGCATGTACACTTGCCAGAGCAAATGTCTAAAATGTGTAACATCAGACACGGTAACTAAGGCTGTGCACAGTGACTGCATTTCTAGAAGTTAGTGGCGTGCCTACATGTTTACACATCTGTGAATAAGTGAAATAAATTTATACAAATGTAACAAAAATATAATTGAATACATGCACCTGTGTGTCTTTCAAGACAATATAAAATAGGACATATTCTGTGAACTGACAAGCCACTTGAAGAGGTGTAGTAAGTATGTGGTTTGCTTGTTTGTCCAGTTCTGTTTTTTCCTTAAAACAGATTTTGTTGGTTGCTTTTTTTTCTTTTTTTTTTTTAGCTAGATCAACTATGTGAGTTTAATTTCCAAATAATGACACTTATTAAAAAGAGTGGATAGAATTTTTTCAGAGCTTTACTAGTCTATATTATACCTCACTAACATGAATTTTTGTAAATGCCTACTGTAATGCATTAACATCCCACTGTCAGTGGTTAATAAAATATTTGTCATTGACATAGCTCATGGTAATTTTCTGTTTCAGTATTCAGAATTATTAGTTAATATTGGGCCAACATTCGGATTTAATAATTCCATTTCCTGTGAATTGAATTACACAGTCAATCCTGCAATTGCAGTGTGGATTCCTTACATATGAAAGCTAACAAATCAATATCTGTGTTAAGTGATTAGAAGCAGAAGCTCCAAAAAAGCTGTGCACTTGTTGGAATACGATATATTTGGTGAAGTTCCTTTTGTTTTGTTCTTTAAATAAATGAAACATTTAAACATCTTTTTCCCCCCAACTTTTTTTTTCCTTAGAAGTGTTAGTAGGTAATGACTTCCTAGGGTGGAAAGTGTCACAGGACAAAAGCACAGAAAAATTGTATTCCTTTGCTGGTTCTACCACAGGTTCTTCATGGACAGCATGTGTCCTCATGGTATGTAGGTTCCCCACTTGTAAAATGAAAGAAGCATCTTAGCAAAGAAACTGGTACAGGTTATTTTCATCACTTTTTGACTCTCCTAAATGGAAGCAATTTTGTTTTAAACACCCAGTTTGTTAACCAACATGGTGGGTTGTTGCCCTAGTTACAGCTTAAATAACCTTTAAAAGTATTTAGTTTTGTGGAGAATTCCTTTTTGCATGGTTTAATGAATACAAGCCTGTTTAGTGAACCATGATACAGATTGTTTTAAATGTAAATCCAGAGACCGTGACTGCACTGAATTTTTGATAATTTATTTTCCTATTCCTTTAGGTCTTCTGTCATTTTTTTCTCTAAGCTAGGACTAACAATTCTTACTTGTTCTTCACCCAGTATTTGAATTAACTATCAACAGCACAATGAATAGAGATTGCACTGCAGATTTCAGGTGGTCCACTTAAGTTCCTAAAAAGCCTTTAGAAAGAAGCAGTGACTAATCCTTTTAATTATAAAGCCACAGCTAAATTAGGCTGTTGTGTGCCTTAAGACAAAAATTCATCAAAATTAATATGCAAACATTTCTACAAGTACCTTGTGGTCTTTCTCAGTAAGAACATTCTCACTGTTATGTATGAGTTCTGTATGATTTGATTATTAGGTAAAATGCATTACAAAACCTTCTTAGGACTTCATCTGAATATAAAATTACTTATGAAATATTTAGGAATACTTAGTGCTTTTAAACAGATAGCTTTTTATGTCCCAAGGGAGGGTAGTAAAACTGGGTCTGGAAAACACTTTTTTTCCTTCTTCTTCCCACCCTCATCTTCCCCCCTGTCCTAGGGAGGTGAGAGGATGAGAAAGTTGTATTTTAACCTTTCTCCAGTTAACACTAAAGGTGTTAGTCCTCTTATTCTTGGAGGCCATTAGTTAAGGGCATAGAGCATTCTGTGGGCAGCGGCTCAGTTCTTTAAATCCACTGCCTCTGATTTGCAAAGCTTAACATACAAATTACAAGTTTTAACTGCATGCCAGTGTGTGAGGACCTGATATGAGTCAAGTGATTCATATGGGAACTTAATCTTAGTTGTGGGCGTAAACGTGACTCCTTGTTTTGTCATCTCTGATCCATACAGTGTAACTGCTCACAGTGCTTTTCAGTAAAATGTGTGTTTTAATAAAATACAGAGGTTTCCCAACTGAATTTTTAGACTCTCATCTGTTTTTTTGTTTTGTTTATACTCTATAGCAACTGCTGTTTCTTTATGTAGTTGTATCCTTCTGCAACAACTTCTGATACTGCCATAATTGTATGAAGTTCTTACAGGCCATTAGTGTAGGTCTATAATGTGTAGCTAATTTGTCATGGCACATTTGAATAACGAGTTGCGTATGACTGACTGATTAATTCAGGGTCTTACAAACATGGTTTTGGCTCCCAGTTGTTTTATGTGCAATTAAAAAATTAATCCTGTTTCATGTAAACTGCTCCTTTCCTGAGGTAATTTTTGCATTGTTGTATGTCAGGATAGGCACAGGGCATGGTCTGAGTGTATTGTTCCAAGTAAAACTTTTAACACGATTCATGCAACTTCTTGTTCATTATAGCCCCACTACATACGTTTTGGATGAAGATGAGCCTCGCTTCCTTGAAGAAGTTGATTACAGCGCAGAGAGTAATGATGATCAAGACATTGACTTAGCTGATAATGCAGGTGATTATGAGGCAACTAATCAAGAAGATGGACTTTCAGACTCAGATTCAACAAGGATACTCCTTTCTTGAACCATCTGTGCAGCAAGTAACAGGAAATAAACTGTCTTGGATTTTTTCAGTCAAATACTTCCTTGCTTTTGGCTACCAAGGGGATATTATTAAGGAAACACAAATCATAGAATTATCATAGAATAGTTTGGGTTGGAGGGGGCCTTAAAAATAATCGTAGTTCCAATCTCCCTGCCATGGGCAGGGACACCTTCCACTAGACCAGGTTGCTCAAAGCCCCGTCCAACCTGGCCTTGAACACTTCCAGGGAGGGGGCAGCCACAGCTTCTCTGGGCAACTTGTTCCAGTGTCTCACCACCCTCACAGTAAAGAATTTCTTCCTTCTATCTAATCTAAATCAACCCTTTTTCAGTATAAAACCATTACCCCTACTATCACTACACTCCCTGATAAATGTCCCTCCCCATCTTTCCTGTAGCACCCTTTAAGTACTGGAAGGCCACTATAAGGTCTTCCTGGAACCTTCTCTCAGCTGAACAACCCCAACTCTCTCAGCCTGTCCTCATAAGGGAGGTGCTCCAGCCCCCTGATCATCTTCGTGGCATCCTCTGCACCTGCTTGAGCAGGTCCATGTCCTTCTGATGTTGGAGGCCCCAGAACTGGACACAGCACTGCAGGTGTGGTATCACAAGCTCAGAGTAGAGGAGGAGAATCACCTCCCTCAACCTGCTGGCCATGCTTCTCTTGATGCAGCCCAGGATATAGTTGGCTTTCTGAGCTGCCAGCGCACGTTGCTGGCTCATAGTCAGTTTTCCATCCACTATTACTCCCAAGTCCTCCTCCACAGGGGGCTGCTCTCAATCCAGCCTGTATTTGTGTTTGGGATTGCCTTGACCTACGTGGAGGACCTTGCACTTGACCTTGTTGAACTTCATGAGGTTTGCACAGGCCCACCTCTCAAGGCTGCCAAGGTCCCTCTGGATGGCATCCCTTCCCTCCGGCGTGTCGATAGCACCACACAGCTCGGTGTCATCGGCAAACTTGCTGAGGGTGCACTCGATCCCACTGTCCATGTCCCCAGCAAAGATGTTAAGCAGTGCTGGTCCCAACACCAACCCCTGAGGAATGCCACTTGTCACTGCTCTTCACTTGACATAGACCACAACTCTTTGAGTGCAACCACTCATCCAATTCCTTACCCGTTGAGTGGTCTATCCATCAAATCCATGTCTCTCCATTTTAGAGACAGGGATGTTGTGAGGGACGGTGGCAAATGCTTTGCAGAAGTCCAGGTTGATGAACATCAGTTGCTTTTCCTTTATCCACCAGTGTTGTAACCCCATCATAGAAGGCCACCACGATTTACCCTTAGTGAAGGCACGTTGGCTGTCACCAATCACCTCCTTATTTTCCATGTGCCCTAGCATAGTTTCCAGGAGGATCCACTCCACGATTTTACCAGGCACAGAGGTGAGACTGACTGGCTTGTAGTTTCCTGGGTCTTCCTTTTTTCCCCTTTTAAAATGGGGGTCATGTCTCCCCTTTTCCAGTCAGTGGGAACTTCACCAGACTGCCACAACTTCTCAAATATAATGGATAATGGCTTAGCCACTTCATCTGCTAGTTCCCTTAGTACCTGTGGATGCATCTCATCAGGTCCCACTGACTTGTGCACCTTCAGGTTCCTTAGATCGTCTCAAACCTGAACTTCTACAGTGGGTGGTTCTTCATTCTCCCAGTCCACACCATTGTCTTCTGCTTCTTGGGTGGTGTGGCTGGAATACTTGCCACTGAAGACCAAGGCAAAAAAGTCATTGAGTACCTCAGCCTTCTCCATAACACTGTTTCCTTCCAGAGAGGGCCCACATTTTCCCTAGTCTTCCTTTTATCACCAGTCTACCTATAGTAGCTTTTCTTGTTGCCCTTGACATCTCTGGCCAGATTTAATTCTATCTGGGCTCTGACCTTCCTAACCTGATCCCTGGCTCCTTGGGGAGTTTCTCTGTATTCCTCCTGGGCTGCCTGTCCTTGCTTTCACCCTCAGTAGGCTTCCTTTTTGTGTTTGAGGTTGCCAGGAGCTCCTTGTTCATCCATGCAGGCTCCTGGCATTCTTACCTGACTTCCTCTCTGCCAGGATGCATTGCTACTGATCTTGGAGGAGGTGATCCTTGAATATTAACCAGTTTTCTTGGGCCTCTTTTTCCTCCAGGTCTTTATGCCATGCTATAGCTGGGGCCTGCCTAAGTCAAGGACAATAAATTTTTCCAATTTCCAATAAATTGGCATTTCTTTAAGAAGTTCTGTGTTTCCTTCTAGCACTAAGTAGATAAGTTTATTTACTGGTTCATTTTCTACTGAATAGCACCGCATGGCATTTTGTGTCCTTAAACTCTGTCTTCAGAAAAACGGATTATAATTTATGGTGTGTCAGAGTACAGAAACTAATTATTTGTGGTACGGTTGTTTGAGTTGCTTCCTGAGAAATACATATGTACAGATTTTCTAAATTAATTTGTGTATGTGTGTGTATATGCGCGTGTGTATAACTGAGGTGAAGAGGTTATTTTTCAACATTATTTGAAAGATATTTGATTGTGTTTGAAGTAATGTAATGCCTGCTCTGGAAGCATTCAATAATTACTAAATTAAAAATGAAAATGTGATGTATGAATTGTTGCACTTGTTTCTTGCTTCTGAGGATTATATGGTTTTGCCACCCCATACTAGGTGAAAATATATGATACCTGTTCATAGTTCAGGAATTTTGCACAGTGACCGATGCAGCCTGTGTGCTTACAAGAACTATACACTTGTTTAAAACACTTTCACATAAAATAGGCATGGTTTAGTATGAAGAGGGTTTTTTTTAAAAGTGTACACATGAGTACAAGAAGTGGTTAGATATGTACACTGTATGCACGTTCAGCTACCCAGTTGCTCAATTTTTCCTGTTCAATATGCGCTTGGTTAAAAAGAGTTCACTTTACTGGGGACACATTAACGATACAACCAATTCAAATGCTTTAAGAGGGAAAGTGCATTTAGGTTTAAACATCTTTTGCCTGGTCTCAGTCCAGTGGTAAACCTGCTGTGAGAAGACTGGACTGTAACTTCCCGAGGTCTCTTCCAGCCTGAATAATGGTTCTATGATTCTACATGTTTCATGTTTAAAGTCAAGATGTCAGGCATGGGATTTACACTCTTCATCTTCTCCTGTCATCTACTAATTCTTACTGCAACTTGCCTCTGCTTAGAATAAGATCTAATAGAGAATTCAGGTGTACCCTGTTGTTTACAGAACTGACATGTTTTGCAATGAAAAATATTTTTCCAAAAGTATTTTTACTTTATGACCCAGTTGTGGCATTCATTTTCTGCTGCATGTGCAAGGGCTTTAAGAGCATGAAAAATAACACTTCTAAGTTACAGCAAGTTTTTAACTGATGAGAACTTTGTGTATGTTTACTGTTGCAAACAAAATCGTATTTTGGAAGGGGAGGATGTCTGCGGTAGAAGGATTAAAAAAAAAAACCCCAAAACTTAAGATAATCAATTGTATCAATGATTCTCAGTCAGGAGATGCATTTTCACCAGGATCTGCTGTTTCAAATATAGCATTGTTTGGTTATGGTTATGCCTGTCCATACCATCCTGATTCTGAAACTGGGGAAGGGTTTTTGATCCCACATGATATGGTACTGTATTTTTGTTTAAAGGCTTACATTTATATTAATAATTATGCAGTTTTGAGATATAAGGGTATAATGGAAACATTTACATTCTTGTCCATTTATAAGTTTTTAATGAAAATTATCATTCCTTGTGTCCTGTGAACTACATACTGTAAATAAAAAAGTTTGTTTAATACCCTATTGAAGAGGAGCCCTCTGCATTGAAACTGTAGAGGAATTTGGGAATCTGCCAAACAGAAGGATTAACCTTGCAACAGAACTTGAACTATCTACATGTCTGCCCAGTGAGAGCAGTGCAGAATGCTCATATTGCTGTGTCAGTCTTATATTAGTTATCTGCATAAACAGCTTCTCGTAAGTCTCTTAAGGACTCATACTTCAGTACCTTACATAAATAATTTTGACTTGAATTTCAGGGGTTGAAGGATGCCACATGTTAGTTAACCCTATTGTGCACTTTGCCTTAGTTTTCATATGAATCTGTGTTAATCCTGGAATACTATTTTCATACTACAAGCAAAACTAGAAATTTACTTCATCTGTTTAGAAAGAATTGTGTCTTAGTATTACAAAATCATCTTTCCATCATGAGTAAATATGCATATATGTTCTTCTTATGTCTTCTACAGCTTTAAGTCTGTGCAAAGGAGGAGTTATGAATGATGGCTCAGGATAACAGGCACTTTCCTAAAACAATAATGATGTGTTTATACATTAGATTCTAATGCACTTGTGCATTGCGTTAGATGTATGTGTTTGATTATATGAGATGACATTCTGGCAGCTGTGGGTCTGAACTTCTACGAGTGCAGTTCTGATGCAAGAGTGCAACTTTGTCCTTGTCTTACACATTGTTGAAAATGCAAAGGCCGTCACCTCTTACACCTTTTGCGGCACTTCTTAACATGCCTTCTGAAAGGCAGAGTCTCCACGCGTGCTCACAGGGATGCCAGCTCATGGGAGGAATTGCCTCAGTGGTGGCTGCTTCACAGGGTTTATCCCTTCCCAACTACATGTTGCCATTGTTGCAGCGGTGTTGGTAGACACATGCTGGTATCCCCCTTTTACCTGTTTTGGTGTGAAGTCTGGTGTTTAGCTGAAAACGGAATAGCTGAGGCTTGAGCACATGCTCCATGCTGTTACTGTGGCATTCACCCCAAAGAAGTGGGCAGAATGGATAGGAAATAATGGCAGCTTCTTGATCTGTCACAAATCAGTTGTCTAGCAAGGCCTGACCCAAACAATTGACTGTCTTTACTTTATGCATTGGCATTCCAATGTGTTTCTGATTTTAAATGAAGCTCTTTACTATAAATATGTCACGTTCTATATAGGAAAATAAGATATTCTTATATCTTTTTTCAGTAATAACAACAAATAAGATTATAAGCAATAATTATATCTGTGTTATTATTTACCGTCTTGCTTCTAAGTAATTGCTGGATGATCAATTACTTTATTCCCTTTCCAGGTATAATTCAAGTTGCAGCACAAATTTTGTTTTTCTGTCTTCACTGGTGACATCCTCTAGTGTAACATAACTTACAGCTAAGACTGCAGTTTGTTGCCAGAATCTTGCCTGGTCATTTTTGCAGGTGGATTGCTTTATCATCCTGACTTATGAGGGAGAACTA